TAAATATTTACTGCTTTATATACGAAAACATTTACGTGTGAAGCGTATATTGGTACTTCCATTATCGATTCTCTGTCATCCTCAAATATTTAACTTGACCGAAAGCTTTAATGCGTGGCAGACGTGATCGAGTTTACAAAACGTGCATATTGTTACCGTTAAGTCGAGACATCATTTACGGAGAAAATATCATTTCTGCGCCATGTTATGTAATATAATTTTAATATTTTAAAACAGGAAAATCTTTGTTCTATGCCTTTTATACAGGATACAGTTCATCTTTTATAAATCCTGTTCTTCTTTTCCACTTTTCTGTATATATGACTTCCGCCGTATATTTTTCATGGTTTTTCTTTTAAATCTGAAATGCGTGTTTCAGGTCTGTAGAATATTAATTCAGGTAAATTTTTAGATCCTTCATAATATGTTTTCTCATATTTAGAAAAAACATTTCAAAGTTTAAAAACACGGATCACATACGTAGATTACTCGCAAAAAGCGTATTGTAAATTATGTTTTTACAAGTTACATAAAAAATACGTTTGGTTTCATATTCTTAAATGATTTTACAGACAAACACATCTACGAATATACTATCTGGTATATATATATTATTATATAATATATTACACATAATATATTATTATATAAATATTATATATATATTATATATTATTTGTATAATGTACATATATTTGAAAGACCAATTTAATGTTAGTTTATTCAAGAGCCTTACTTATTTCTTCGTTTAAATCACGCCGGTCGAAAGATGCGTTAGTAGCTGCGTTTATTCTCGTGGCTTGATATCTGAATATTGTGAGAGAAACCGAGTGCCTCGGTAGTCGAATTGGGAGAGCGATCGCACGGAAAGCGAGATTCGACTTCTGGCCGAGTTTTTTTCGCAATATTTTAAAAATTAGATAGGAGAGAAAACGAACATTTCTCATACATGTGATGTAAATCCAGCATTCTATATGAATTAAGGAATTGAATTATCATATATATACAATACATATATATATATTTTTTTCAGTGTAAATTATACAATTGAATTTTGAATTGAAAATTCAATTCTATCAATATATCAATATATTAATTGTATAATATATCAGTATGTGTATATATATTAATATATTCGTTTCACACGAACTTCCAGCGTTTGGCTCTTAATGACTAATTTAATTAGTTGAAAATATATTATTATTCAAATAATATATTAATGTAAAACAATATTTTTTAGAAAACAATTGTTTGCGTTCTTTTATTTTTACTTATTCTAAGACTTTTTTTTTACTGTTATCTAGAACAAACGCTAGATGCATAGGAAAGAAGTTATTTCATCTCAAGTATGGTTCTTCTCTTCTAATTTTTTTTATTTTTTTTATTTTTTCTATATTCAGTTTTTCTCTCATCTAACCGTTACTAGTCGCCAGCTCATTCGTTTTCAAAACATGGAGAAGGGACGAGTTTTTCTTATGAGTAAGTGAGTGAGAGAAAGAGAGGAAGAGAGAGAGAGAGAGAGAGAGGGAGAGTTTTGGGGTCGGATTTTATTAAGACGATCTGCGTCGCAATTCGCAAGACGAGTCCTTCAATTTGTGCCGGGAACTATCTCTTCGAGTCCTCTACGAGTTTTCTGTGGATAAACTTTGCTCGTTTTTACACGGCCGCAATCACGGTGATCTCTCGCGATATCTGCGGGTTATTTTCGAGAAAATGTTTCAAGACGCTTTTTCTCATCACGAACAGTTTCCCAAGTGCACGTAGCGTTTTATATGTAACTAGATAAAACGGAATAATAATGATTATTATTTTGTATTAAGAGATGGTGTGTATATAATGTGTTATACAATAATAACGCTCGCTGAAATTATGATTAATATTTAAAATATTTTCTGTACTTACATTCTAGAAAAAATAAAGTTTCTATGACTGTTTTTCTTTTAACTTTGAAAAGATTGCAAAAGGAGATTGGAGTGTTGTAGATTCATATATACAGTTATAAAAAAAAAAAAGGAACAGATAATTACTACACTTTAATTTTTTTATTCTTGATTACTTTTTTCAAAATTAAAAAAAAATTAGTCTTTATTCCGGTTAAATTGGGAACATATATAGAAAAGAGTTTTCTAGAAAGAATTAACGATGCAACATTTTAATCATATCGCTGTATTATTGTTATTGCAATTAACAAATGTGACGCGATAGAACGTTGCGTATCAACGTTTACAATATTTGGAAATGTTACAGCTTTCTTGCATCTCACCTATACATACTAGTTTCCGATTACAACGCCTCGAATTCCATACGCGCGTCGTGTTGCGTGAAATTAAATTCAAGAGCAAATATGATCTCGCAGAATATCAGCTGCTTGTTCATAATTTCAATGTTAACATGACGCGCCTGTATATAAGGCATAATTCATTACGCATTACGGTGCAGTCGTTTCGTGCAATAGCACAACTCGAGAATGATAAACATAAAGAACATCATTCAGTTGAAAATGCTCAACGGCACGATAAAAACAAGTAAATGACGCGTCTAATACTATTTCTATTTTGGTTTTGAGAATTTGTTTGCAAAATTTACAAAACTTACTTTTCTATCTTTACTGAATTCTGATTCTGATAGCATTTCATATAATTTTAACCTTTTTTTATAACAAAAAAATTTGATATTACAAATATACTAGAAATTTGATATTATAAAATGTATTCAATATACCTATATACAAATATAGTAAATAAAAATATTTTCTTCACCACAAATTAATCCTCATATAATCATTGTATTACAAATTAATCGTTGTATTTTTTTTTATCTTAAAAACGCGCGCGGACCAGTTGGCTTTACGATTGTATACAGTGTTTTGCCTTTTATCTACTACTCGTAATCGGTATCATTATCGCACAATAGATGTTGAAGCAGGAAATGTCAAAGCTGTCGTATTAATGACGCACAGACATTTCGCTGGCCGATAATGCAAGCCGCAAAGTGACGTTAAACCATGCATTATGGCGATATAGTGTGATGTTTTGACCGGTCGATTTGGCACGCGTGTCTCCGTTGTAACAATATAAGCTTGGAAAACACAAGAGTATTGTATTTTCATCTGTATATTAATTGTAATTATTATTTTTTTCATCAAAAAAATCACAACAAGATTTTCTACAAAATCTTCGAAGAAATTTTCCATAAAAGTTTTTAAACGCAAACGATAATTACGCAAATCTAACAAAGACAGAAAAGAATATCAAAAAACTGCAAGTTTTAATCGATAAAAGCGCCACTACTAAAACTATATAAGTAACGTTAAATTTCAGCCCTCTCACGGAAGAAACTCTACGCGCGCGTTCGAACTTATTGACAATCGATATTAGACACCGAAGTTCGTTACCGATGCTCGTTTGTTTGACGAAGCGAAGTAATCGGGACAAGTGAATCACTAATTAGGTCACTTGGTGCATAAGTAAATCCTACAGGTTTGGCAGAAAGATTAATTAATTGTTGCCAGCGCACGTTTCAAGTTTAGATTTTGGACGAGCTATTGCTTTTACCGTCCACGGTACTCCTAGAAAACTGTAACTTGCACCTTATTGAAACGCTGTTGTCATTCATTGAAAAAATTACTTCTCTTTTCATTCATCCTATACAGGAAGTCGTTAAACTTCTTTCGTTAACGATCAACCGCATTAGCATATGAACGGATTGAAGTTGGTAGATTTCTCCTAACATAGAGAACTATGCAGAAGTCCAAGTTTTAAAGAGATAATATATTATTGTGACACAGTGAAAAAAGTTTTTATTAACATAATGAAATTTAATCATCAAATCGACGTTGTAGAAACTCTATAAAAATTACGAGCAGCATCTTTAACGTTTGTTAAAAACTCGTTTTGATAAAGCTTAAACGTATTAAAAAAAGAAATACTATGTATGTCAAAAAAGTATTCATATATTACGTAAATTAATTGACTTTGTAACATGTGAATATATAGATGGAAAAGAATTAATTAATAAAAATCTTTATAAATGCATTCTGACAATATATTATATTATAAATCGCGATATGTATACATATATATGTTATAAATCGCGATAGATACTCAAAATCACATATGAGATAATAACACTGAGGTGTTATATCACTAAATAATTGTTGAAACATTTCGATTAATGCGGAAAATATTTCGAGAAACCATTGTTTTCGTACATAATGATACGCTCGTATATTATACGTTAAAGGATTTAATAAATTCGTGTATATATAATAATACGCGTATCATAATCAAAAACTATATGAGAGAGAAAGAGAGAGACAGAAAGATATCATATTTATATTGTTATAAATTCTATAAACACACACTAATTGTATATTTTTGATAATTGATCAAAGTTATGCCGGTTGCATACGCTCACACTATTTGCTCTATGCACTGTGCAATTATTTTCTATAAAAATACATAATTTATCGATTATATAAAAATATTTTTATATCTAACATTATACAACAAATTGTAAAATATCTTTTCTTCTCTTTTTGAATAAAAATAAAATTATCTTTAAATGTATTTTTATACATGTCATTATCATATTAATAAAGAGCAATAAAACATTATTCTTTGTATTCAAATTTCAGTAAAATACAGTGTTGCTGTTTATCTCACTATACATATATAACATATAATTTATATTCATACACACATAAATGCAAAAATATCATTATAATTTCTCTCGTAAAATTATCACATACGTTCTGAGAGAAATTAATTTATGAGTTTTCGATAGTTCTCTTGCGTAAGAACCATTTTTCTTCCTTCCACAGCGCGGTGTTACACAAAAACAGCGCAGATAATCGATTACTTCCGTGGTAATTTACACTTTTTCAGGATATAGTATCATCGAGAGCGAGATGCTTCTTTTACATCAAACTACTTTACTAATTCGATTCGGTAGCGAATTCTGTCGAAAAAAAAAGTTTTGTGCGTGTGTGTCTTTTGCAGGTCAGCCAGGTCCTTGCCATGCGATGTCGTTGCAGAGCCCAAGGCATCGACATTACAGGTCGAAAACATCAAATCAGATAAATGCCTTCTAAAAAGTTTTCATTGTGCGCTGTATTATATGAGAAAAACAATTTGCGGCTCTTTCTCGCTCTAGTAATTTGTAAAAATTATTATAGTATTATATGTATATACATGTATACGCGCACACATGCCTGTGTACCATGTATATATGTATAATATAACGTATATGGAGTTTCTTTATGCATTCACGCTTTTGGAATGACGTTCATCGGCGCTCGCGGAACACGCTGCGTTAACATTCCTTGGACTGATGGCTGATGTCGACTTGTGTGAGCTCGACAATCTCGAGCTTTGCATACGCTAGAATGACTCTCACATTTACTTGCTATTCTTGAAGTCTCTACTCTATTCATATTTAAATTTATGCTAATTCCGAATGATTTAAAGAATTTCATTGTACATATATTAAATGTCCGATGTGAGCGTTTACATATTGTTACAATAAGTTTATATAGCGCGAATGTATCTTGTAAAAAGAGATGAAGTAGTATAGTATATTTATTTGTAGTTATATTACGCTTAATATACATATATATATATATATATATATGTGTGTGTGTGTGTGTATATATATATGTATATGTACATATGTATGTATATACACATACTATTTTGTGAGTGTGAATGTCTTTGAATATTTCTTTAAGTCTTCTTACTAAATGCTCTACTTGCGACAGTGTTATGATATGTAAATATGTTTTTACGCAAAGCGTTATTCTCGTGTGTTTTCCATCAGAAGTTGACGATAGAGCTTACACAACCGCCAGCCCGGTCCGTTAATTATATTATTTATTACACCTGCGTTATATTGTGTCTATTGTTAGAGTGTTGTTCTACTTAGCTACGTTTGTATTATCTTGGGTATCTCGTTGAGTTCTTTCGATCGTATTCACACGAAGTAAGCGTAGACCGAAGAGTGGTTTCGCTGTGGAAAAAAAAAAAAAAAAGAACAAGACGTCTTGCACAACCATACTACACAACTGTACAAATATCAATATCAATTCGCGCTCTTTATTTTCTTTTGATTGACGAATATTTCACGGATATAGCTTAACTTTTTTAAACATGACGAAAACATTCGTCCTGTTGCGATTTTGAGAGCTTGCGAGAAACCACGACTTCGAAAAAGTTATCACTTTTGAGCGTTCTGTTGGCATGGCCTGGTTTCACATTCAATTTTAATCGTTGAAAGGTGCACCTTTCTTCTTCCGTTTCGCCCGTGAGAGTTTTGGCAGCAAACGGATATTCGCGCACGTTTCCACCTGATTTAAGCCGACACCGCGCACTTTCCTTTTTCAGGACAATGACGGCGATTTGTTTTGTGTGCAACCTGCCGATCTTGAGCCATCAGGTCGGTCTGGTATGGCAGGGCGGCAACGGCTGGGACGACCTCGTACGAGAGCAAGTAGAAGAATCTACTCTGAAGCAACGACTGGGTATGCATAGACACGCTTTTGAGTTGTAATCAGCTTTTTCCACGCAAAACTACATTATGGAAATGCAATGGTACTCTCATGCAAAAATCGTTTTATTATCACGATGTGTGTAATAAGTGTTCGGAATGTTATTACAAAGATATTAAAGAGCAAGAGCTTTAGCAATATTTATATTCTCTATATTTATATTATTTTCTTTTTGTTTTGCATCTTTATAATAAATTATAATTAACATTTTGATTTCTGAAAAATATGTGAAAATAATACGTATGTATAGAAAAAAATGTGAAAGATTGAATAAAAATAGTCTTAATTGTGCATTATACTATACCGTTACACATATCTTTGATTTTTTTCGAATAAACTAATCAATTCATTCATGAAATAATGTTTTCTTACACGAATTATAGTCGCATTAGACGTTTCCTCGTAACAAGACGGTAACAAAGATATAATCTTTATCTTGATGTCTGGTTGATAACAAACAATACAATTTCTCAAGCGTTACAAGCACTAACACGTTTGCTTAGGAACAGGCAGGCGAGATTCAGCGGCGCAAATTACGTCAATTTCACCCCCAAACGAAACCCAAAATTCTTCCCCAACGAATCAACGCCGTCGACGATCGAGTCTCGCTCAACTGACCGACATTTTGCGCGAATGGAGCGGCGGCGGCACGTCTGGAAAAAGCGGACGCGGCAGCAAGCTCTCTCGCAGAGAAACCTTGGCTGACATCGCCAAGTCGCTACCCTGGCCACGACAGGCCACCACGGACGCCAGCCATTTGGCCAGTCTGCGAAAAAGGCGAGAGAGCTCGGTTGACAGCGGCATTCGAAGCCAGTTGTCAACCAAGTCCAGGCGCGAATCCGCCATCAGCGACTTCAAGAACGATATAGCCAGACTCTGGAGCAAGAAGGATGCGACACCGCAGCAACCGCCCACGGTCATCTCGCCCTCACCGAGACGAGGTGAAGTTTTTCAAAACGAGAGAAAAGTAATTCGACACTTTTTGCGGCAATATCCGAGACACGACCTAAACTTATCCGTGCTCGCGCGCAATTATCTCGAGATCTAATGATTAGTTTTTGAACTGGAGAGAGAAATGACATTTTGCAGAACGTTAATTGCTGACAAAAGAAGTTTCAGCAAATAATAATAATATTTATGTGTACAGCTTTATTGCAAACAAAATTATAATTTTGTTAATTATCAACAATTTTTATTTGTTTCTTCAAGAACATAAGCTTTTTTTAACAATTGTAACAATGTACACATAATGTTTATTGTGCTTAGCGAATGTTTTAAATTTTCATATTTATATTAAAACCAACAATTAACCGTGAAACCCGGCTACAAAAATAAATGTTAATATGTGTGGTATATTTTGTGTGTGTGTGTGTGTGAGAGAGAGAGAGAGAGAGAGATTATTGTCTAATATTGAGTATATTTCATTATACAGGCTCCGGTGAATCAAGATATTCTCGTCGAGGTTCGGGTGAGAGTGCAAAATCTACGACGAGGAAAGATTCGATAATAGCACAATCATCGATTGGACAATCATCGAATGGACAACCGTCGATTGGACAATTATCGGGACAATCATCAATTGCAGGACAATCTTCTTCGAGTCCCGGTGAACGCATGCACACCTGTAGTCATCATAAACGTAGACGATCCCAACAGTCGATCGACGGAGGTGGCATTACTCCCACGAAATATTACAGAAATGATCAGAGACCGAGCGCTTCCAGCACAGACAGCGCGGCCAGTAGTGCAGTTAGGTCAGTGTAAAGCGCGATAGTAGTTGTATAAAAAAACAAAAAAAGAGAAAAATAAACGGATAAATTTCAAATTTTACTTAGTAGTGACACGATGTAATTGGCACGATGACAAGTTCACTAATTCTTTTATTTCAGAGATCACTTGGAAACTCAGAGAAGCTCAGAAAAGAGTGAGAGATCGAGCAGTATCGAAGCTAAAACCGTTCCCGTAGCGAACGACACAAAAGCAACGGGGCAAACTGCCACATCTTTGACTGTTGACGGAAAGACATCTGTCATCACCACCGCAGCCGTCGCCGTCACCACCACGACCGCTACCACCGTAGGCGAATCAAAAACGATGACAGTGACAATCAACACCGCACCAACAGTGTCCACTTTGTCAACCTTGAGCGTAGACACGAAGACTGAAAACAAGTCTGGTATCAATCTAGATACCGGCGTGAGTCCGCCAACTATCGTTATGTCCTCGGTAACACCACCAGCTATTTCGCCGACGACTGGAAGTAGTCTCCCGCTTCCTAATACTTCGACATCCGGTAGCTCCAGTCCAGTCGGTTCCCCGAATGTCAATAACACACCTACGCATCCCTTGCTTTCCACTCGACGAGATTCGACTACACAGGTAAACAACACACATAAGATAGATTATAGATTTTAAAAACACATAGATGCACATTTAATATAAATATAAATCAATTTTTTAAATAAATATATTTTGTTTCTTTTGACAGTGTTATTACAAGGGTAAAGAGGTTTCACCGAATAAATTGCTGAGACTGACACGCCAACAGGCAGCGATAGACGAATCAATGCCATCCCCGGGTCGTCGCGGTAGTCAACCAACGTTATCACCGGATCCTGACGATGGAGGTATACCGACCGTTGTAGTTCTAGTTAATTCAGTTGTCGCATCTATATATATATATGGCATATATATATATATACATGCCATTTGCAAAAATGTTTACGTAAAAATTGAGAAAACTGTAAAAAAGAAAATTGAAGAAAATAAATATAAAAAAACCTGTTGTGTAACAATTATATAAGTAAAACCGCAGAAAACTAGATTTAAATTTTTTTCCTTATATTTTTAAAGGTCGAAAGGCACGAAGAGATTCCTTGAGTCCGGATTCCGCGTCTTATCCGCGACGTCGCGATTCAAAAACCCATTTGAGCCCGGACAGAACAGTTGATAAGAGAGATATCAGTCCTATCAGGCAGAGGAAAGCTCGATTGAGAAGACAATCCACCTCCATGGCTGGTAGACCACCAAGGTATCTGTTGATTATTGATTTTTTAACACAAACTACACAAACAACGATGTGTGTATGTGTCCTTTTACTTTATTCGATTAATTATACAATATATATGCAAATTGAAAAAGTATCAACATATTTGTTTAAGAGTCAATGATGTTTTATTAAAATATTGTTATGAAGAGAATATATTTGATGTTGTAGAAGAAAAGAAAAAATAATATTATAATTCTCATAATTTATAATTATTTTGAGAGATTCCAAGTATATCGAATAATGTGTTTCGTACTGCAGATCGCCGGATAGTTCCTCATGTTCGTCCAGAGATCCCAGTCCCTGTGCTCGTGCACCCAGCATTCAACATGCGCCGATAATAAGACGACAATCTACTACCGAGGAGATTCTGATAGCGCGCGGCTTTCGACGGCAAAGCACCACCGAAGAGATGATTCGATGTCGTAATTTTAGGCGACAGAGCTCTCAGAGCGACGACACGGTTTGTTCCCGTCTGTAATTCAAATAATAAAATGTTTGAACGTTGTGTAATAAAAATTACACGAGTTTTTGTTAATAAATAATCATAAAACTGGAAATTCTTACGGAATTTGCATAAACTTAAAAAGGACCATCGTAACCACAAAAATAGATACGTACAAAAAATGTTTGACTTCTTATCTGAAAAATAGAAATTAATATTAAAAATCAAGAAATATATGATAAAAAACAAAAATAATATGTATTACACGTGTATATTTTTAGAACTATACACGTGTGCAAGAAAAATGTGTGTAAAACTACATTAAAACTTGCTCGAAGTTATTGAACGTTTACTTAATATTGATTTTACTTTAGTCGCGATAAGAAAGCTCGATCTTTTTCTGAAATCTTTGCTTTCTGTGTTTTACAGGTTCAAAGATACCGCGGACGAAGAGATAGTTCGGCTCAAATTACAGATGGCACTTTTGCGACTATGACCGTCGAAACATCGAGTACATTTTTCGACAGTAGTACGCAAACTGGTGAGTGATTAAGATATAAATTTTTACATATAGTTTTTTACATATAATTTTTAAATATATTTTTATTACTTGACAAAAGTCACTTGTACATACTTCATGTGTTTGTATCTGTGACTCATATTTTGACCATTTTTTCGTATAATGAATCACTCCGTTTATAGATTTGCAATAGGATGAAAAAACAATTTTTGCATATCTTCGCAAAACAGAGATGTTACTATTAGAAAACAAAATTTATTTTTTTCTTATGACATGCTCTAATGTTGAATAAAAAAAAACATATTAGAACAAAATTATCAAGGCACAAGAATTCTTGTCGTTCCTTGTTCTCATTTCTTCATTTTATCGAGCATCTTGTACCATCGAATACGTATTTATGCTTTTTTTAATTTCGAAGTAAATACTAATTATGCGTAAATACTAATTATGTACACATATGTATATACGCACACATCTATATGTGTGTGTGTGTGTGCATTTTTTAGTTTTCATTTGTATATATAATTTGCTAAACTTGTCGTTGTATAGTATGTACTCTTATAATCTTACGTACATTGTCCAGTAGTACGAACCAATGTTGATATCGGCAGTATCGTACTTCCACTAGAAAGAGTGATTTTTCAGACATCAAAGAAAAAATGTTATCTGTAAAACAAATGGAATCTGTACTTTTTTTTAAGAGCATTTTTCTTAGATTATGTTTTTATTTTTTTGTATTGTTTTTTTAAGTACAGATGGCAAATCGTATACGTTTTCTATTTTATGTTTCTTTTTCGTTTTGTTTGACGGTCAACATCAGTAATTTTCGGACGTATTGTGACGCAATCATATTAGATATTCTCATCAATCTAAATTGCCAGCAACTTTGTTTATATTTGCTATCAATTGTTGTTCACATCAAATACTGCTAAATTCGCGCCTTGTTATCGCGTCATGCGCGATCAAACGTAGGCGTCGCGAATAGCTGCGGTTTACGAGAACGCAGGCGTGACCGGCTTAGTTTCTGCGAGATGACACTGGGTGCATGGTAGTCGATAGGCTAGAAAACAGGAAACCCCTTGTAAGGTGCTCCTCGTCGAAGGACGAGCGTGCGTGTACATTTGTCGCGACTCCGTTTCGATTGAAAGCACGAGATGTTTCCGTTACCACAAAGCGTGAAAATCACGAGAATATCTCTTATATCGAATTAAGATTATAGAAAAGTTTCGTTGAGCACACAGGGACCAGTGTTTTATCTCGTTATTCTGAAGATAATGATCGAATTGTAGTGAGAAAAAGGATCGTGTTCGAAAAAGACTTTTTTATGATTTTTCTCTTTCCTTCTTTCTTTTTCTTTCTCTCTCTCTCTCTCTCTCTCTCTCTCTCTCTCTCTTTCTCTTTCTCTCTATCTCTCAAAGTGCGTCTGATTTTTCGTGGTTTAATTAAGGACAAAACATCCTCGGTGTTCTCGTTTTCTTTTCCGTCTGTTTACTTGCATCGAAGGATCGATCCTGTAGTGATGAAATGAAAGACAAAGAGTTGTCGATGGCGAGCCACGCCGTCAAAAGGGTGTGCAGCTTTTCTTGCGAAAGGATGACACTGTCAACTTTGCCTATTAGAGCGATAAAAATACGTTGATGGTAGATTGTCTGTTTTTCTCTTTAACAGATCGGTGTTAGTGCCAACTGTTGAGATACTAAAGTGAAAGTAGACGTTTCTCCCGAATTTCTCGTCTGTGTATATTCTACAACGTTGCTCCTATGTGCTCTTTCTCTCTCTCTCTCTCTCTTTCTCGCTCTCTCTCGCGCAGAATCAGGTGGTTTTCAGGACGCAACCACTTGTGGCAAAGGCCGGCAAACGATATTCTCACTATCGCCATCGTGATATTATAGGAAAGTAATTTGAAAATCGGCAACGCGTTGTCAGAGAAACAGGATCTAACTCATCCTGTCGTCACGCGATCTGAAAAGTCCTTTCGTGACCTTCGAGTTTGCGGCCGGCCGTCTTTGTGTGTCCTTGACACGTTGTGTCGATCGTTCGATAGACGCGCGTGATTAGAAAGTGCACCGATTGTGATTTTTTTTCGTATAATGCAAAGTTCGCGAGTGATGGCAAGAAAGAGTTGTTTTGGCGATCAAAAGCTCTTCTGCTTTCTTATCAAAGTGATTATGATGTCAAAAACATGCAAAAACGAAGATTCACAGGTATGCTCGATCGCGTATAAAAGTATTTCTAATATAATTTAGTTTAGGTTTTATTATACAAATTTAATTTATAATACAATGAAAAAACCAGATTTAATTTGTGTGTTTTTTTCTTTGATTAATTCATTACGCATATTTGTTTATATAGACAATTTATGTAGACTCTAGATCTATAGTTTCGTCCTGTTTTCAACATAAACATGTTACCAAATATTTAACTTATGCGCATTATATAATGCGCTGTATTAATTCTGTAAATCTTGACATTTATGTCCGACGCGATATCTTATTACCATACTTTATTAGTTAAAACGTTTCAAAACATTGATAAAACTTCATAGAACTTTATTTAACATTCTAAATTTTAAAAATAACATTAGTTTTGATGTTGTTTTTATTTTTTTCTTTTCTTTAAAAACTTACCAAAAGATATCTCATTTTCAAAACTCCCTGTAACAAGTTCAGAGGTTTAGAAAATCAGGGTTTATGAAGATTCTATTTAAAATAACAGAAAATGTGTGAGATTGTTTTACGTACAAATATGTATATACTAAACTCTAAATAATATAAAAGGCAATATAAAATTTGATATAAAAGTATGGAGAAATTTGAATAACGGATATTTTTGCAGCTTATTATAATTTTTTAATTATTATAGTGTATGCAATATTATATATATATATATAAAATTGTTGTTTATATAAAAACATGTCTTGCGAGCAAATTTCGAAGTACTGCATCTCGGTAATATTATTTAAAAAATGTGTGCAATCCAGTGTGTACGATCACGTAAAGAAGATTATTAAAGCCGATGCTATTTTTCTACTAGAAAAACATTTATTTTTTGGTTTTGATTTATCGTACTCAGAACCATTTTTGTAACAAGTAATTAGATCGTATCTCTATTAATAACAATTTAATTTGCGAGCGTTATTGAATATCTAATTAATGGTCAATATAACTGCGCGCGCGCGCGTATACATACGTGATTGCATCGACTCGGTCTGTTCTTTTCTCTCGCATAGGTAATTTAAGTATATACAGACTGTATACACATACACATACATACACACATACACACGCACGCACGCACGCACGCGCACGTGCATTGTAAAATAGTTAATCGAATAGTAGCCGCCAATGACGATTTAATTATAAATAATTTATACGTAGAAATAGAGTAACTACATCTGTGTTTGTATGTGTTGCTGCTCATATATCATATAAATTAAATCTGTTCATATAAATATTTTTCATATCTTCGAAACATTCTAAAGTCTTCGAATATTATTCGAATCAAATATCTCAATATTTATAACATAAAAAGATATATAAATGTTTGATGTATAAAAGATACAATTCACACGAAATAAATAAATCTCTCATTTACCAAAATCCTTTTTATATGAGAGAAAAAAATATACACACTCTAGTTTGATCATTTAGATTAAAGCAACAATTCAAACTTATATAAAATATTTCTTAGTCTACAATGATATTATCTATTCTTTTCCTTTGCTCAAGTTTTTCAGTTTGTCAACTTTTATATGTATATATTTTTTATATATATTTGCTTTTTATTTTACCACATTGCTTTAATATTATTTTCTTTATCTTCGAAACTAATCTAGGGCCCGCGTAATTTAGTGAATGCGCGACGAGAGTTACGAACAAATTGTCTGTAATTCGTACGCCGCTGGCAAATGTAATTTTCCAGATCGGTCTGGTCGGTCTCTCTCTCTCTCTCTCTCTTCTGATAGTGCGACTGCGTCCATTTTGAAATTACTCTTGTATGTTTTTCCTCCTAAAGGAAGAAATAACAAGGTGAAAGAAGCTCTCCTTTCACGCTGAGTATCTAATTTGCCTCATTTATCTTATTTTATATTATTTTCCATTTTTTCACTACGGGATATATGCAAAGATGTAAATAGCAAGACCAATCTACAGAAAGAAGTGTTTTAAGATGAAAAAAATAGAATTAAAGTTTTTATTAACAAATATTATAGGAATCAAGATTCGAATTTATTTTCAGGGTAATGTTCGAAATGTTTGAGATGTTCGGTCGTAAATCTCATTTCAGTATCAATCGTGCGTGTGTTGGGTCGAGATCAATCTCGGCCGTTGCTCGCCTTCCACATAGATGTTTATCAAGGATTCATTGGATTTTAATCCATCTACTCCAACTGCTCTGATCGCAAATTAATTATTCGTTTGTTCCCATTAACTTGCGAAGAGCACGGAAGATTCGAGGATTAAAAATAAATTCCTTTTGGCATACACGAGTGCAAGTACTTAATTAGCACTTTATTTGTGACCGTATGTATATCGTGATTAATATCCGTCATTAGCCATATTACGTTTTGTTTCTCTGTTTTTTCATTCAAACAAACAGATCTTATGTACAGACGGCGTCATTAATTCGAAGAATAGGCGCGGGGATCGGAGGGCAAGCGGGGCGGTTGCTCATAGCGCCAACGAGCGCCGTACTAACTAACTAGTAGCAATCGGGTGTCCACAACTGGACACCCGATTTTGGGACTAATGGATATTTGGATCAACTGGACTTTTTATGTGATCCCCGCGCCTATTCTTCGAATTAATGACGCCGTCTGTACGTGTAAATTTGACAGTTTGCTATACGCGATGACATAAAGTGGTTTTTCATAATTTTATCGCGATGACATAAAGCGGTTTTTCATAATTTTATCAAATAAACAAGATGATTTTGATCCTGGGGGAATATATCAAAAGAAAAAAAAATTTCTCTCTTATACTTTTTTCTTCTAAATTCTTAGAGTTACGACTGTATTGCAAAACTATTTTGGTTCTTCAGTAGAAAACTTGATTCCGTAATGGTCGGATTTCGTGAGAAAAATCGAAAATACACACAAAGAATAAAGATGTACGTAATAAATGTATAATATTAGTTGAATCTATTGACAAAGGTTAAAAGCGCATTAAAAACAAAAAGATTAAATGCAGTTAACTTACCTTTCAATTATTGTTTCTCAATGTTATTATTAAAAAAAAACAACTACATATGTGAAAGAAACAATAGCGGAATTGCACAAAATAATTAATTGTGTTTTTAAAGTTCTTTTTTTAATTGAATGTTAAATAAAATTGAACGAAGTTAACATTATAAAACGTTGAGAGAACGTTTTACTTAAACATTCTTCTGATTTATTGCGACAAACATTGTCTGAAATCACATTATACTTGGCTATCAGACACAATGTAACAACAAAAAAACGTTTTTTAAAATATAAAAAATATTTAATGCAAAAAAACTTAGCGCGGCTGCTTCTTAACTATAATGAAATTATTTCTTTGTGCGGCTGTCCAATGCAGCCGCGCCAAAATTTTTAGCATTAAATATTTTTTATATTTTGAAAAAAGTTTTTCTTTTGTTACATCTCTATGTTCTAGTAACAAATATAACCTTACCAAAATACATAGTTATGTACTTAGGCATTTTTTTAAAAAGGATTAGTTAATAATCACGGAAAAAAGATAAAGCGTAGTCTTCCTCTAGACACAATTATGTTATTGTATATTGTTTTTTTATTCTATATTGTCTTCTTTTGTATATATTGTTTTTTAACAATAAAATAGGTTTTTAGAGAAAGAATGTTTTGTAGTATATAATAACGGAAAAATGTTAAGGCATGGTCTTACTTTTGACACAAGTATGTTATTGTAAATTGTATTCAATATTGTTTTCTATTATATATTGTTTTTCAATATAATAACGTTCAAAAGTTTACTTGATGCTACTTCTTGATATCACTTATTTTGTAAAACAGATTTTTAGAGAAAGAATGTTTTGTAGTACATAATAAAGAACTTTTTGTAAAACAGGTTCTAGAAAAAAAGAAGTTTTTGTAGTATTAAATCAATTTTTAAGTTATTAATTTAAATACAATACGTGTCGTGCCTGTTTTTACCTTTTTTTGGAAAAGATAAATTTTTTGAGATATCACACATTTTGTATTTTGTAGTATTATTTAATTTGTATCACAGTCTACTTGGCTATCAGACACAATTACGTACTTGACAACTCATGCGTATCGTAAGTTTACATATCAGATTAAGTAAATTTTTAACCGACGAAGCAACGCTTGTACTTGAAATTTGCTCAAATCCGGTTTTGTGCGCATGAAGTTGCTTTTCTTTTTTTATTACTCGGCATTAAAGATTCTAAAACACTCTTTATTATAAAGCTTTTAATCTTTTTATTTTACTTGTCTTATTAAAATGTACATAGTTTGTGCGTACGAGAATTCATTACAATTTAGTTTAACAAATCTCAAGCAAGAGCAACCGTGCCATTTGTATTTTATATGTCGTCGTTGTTAAAACGCGTAGTAACAATTACGTATTATAACTTTATAACAGAGTTCACAAGTTAAACAACGAGAATCACGCTGATACATATATTTATGTTTTGTATGTGAAATAACGTTGAATAATACCTTGGAAATATAGAAAATTTCGCAACTTTCTACATGTTTTGAAAACGCTTTCTGATTTCGTATCTGTAGTTTTGAGATATATATAGAAAAAAATTTATTGATATTTTTAAACATTTAAAAAAACTCCTAACACAAATACATAGCTAATTTAAATTGATCTTATTATTGTTTCTTTTTCCTTTTTTTCCAAGTTGTTTATTACACTAAAATTATATGATTTTATTTTACGAAAAATATATATTTTATAAAATTACTGAAAAAAACAAAATTTTCAATTTATTATATGTTCTTTAAAAGTCTTTATTAAAAGAAAATGGTGTAAAATTTAAAATTAAGAGAATAGAGATTACTCTTTTTCTTCAGCAAATATTTTTAACTAAATAAAATTGTATTTACAATTTAAAAGTAATAAGACCTAGTAAGGCACGTTATGCATAGATATGGTTATGCGTGCGTGCATACATGCAATTATTAAATATCGCGCCAGTCACGAATGCTTCGTGAAACTCTTCTCGATGAAATCGACGCAGTACCCTTCTCTTGCAGAAAGGAGAAAGAGAGAGAGAGAG